CAGGGGGGCCCTGTTAGCCAGCTGTCCCGGGGCCGCATTGCCCCTGCCCCCGGAGTTGCGGTCCCTGGGGACAGCAAACAGTGCAGTCTGTCTCTGGGGGAACAAAAGTATTTGTCCCTCCTGATCCAAACTCCAGGCTGGGCCTTCAAAGGCTTTGGAGATCTGGTCCTGCAAGGGCCTCCTCCCTCCTCCAGTCTCGGGAGTGTTCCAAGTCCCAAGACCTATTTCGCCCTCCCATACAATCCTGTCTGGCCACATTCTCTGAGTCAGCTGGTGACTTTGCCTTGGAAGGGGGAGCAGTGGGGCGGCGTGTGTGTGTGGGGGGGGGGAAGATGTCCATGATGAGTTTTGGGTGCATCCGTCCTAAAGCAGTTACCCCAGGGCAGATTAATTGGAATGTGAGCAGAATGTGCAGATAGGTTTTGGCCAGCTGAGAGAACTCGGGCCTTACTCTGAACAGGAAGCTTGGTGGTTAGACTGCCGGGTGGACTTCCCAGGAAGGAGGAGCATTCATAAAGTGAAAGTCTGGGGACTGGAGCGACAGCAGGTAGGGTGTTTGCCTTGCATGCAGCTGACCCAGATTTGATTCCCAGCATCCCATAGGGTCCCCCAAGCACCGCCAGGAGTAATTTCTGAGTGCATGAGCCAGGAGTAACCCCTGTGCATTGCTGGGTGTGACCCAAAAAGCAAAAAAAAAAAAAAAAAAAAGTGAAACCCTGGACCAAAAGGTACCGCGGGTGGGGCGCTTGCCTAGATGTGGATAACTTGGGTTGTATCCCAGATTTGATCCCACACATGGTCCTGAACCCTACCAGGAGTGATCCCGGAGTACAAAGCCAAGAGTAAGCCCTGAGCACTGCTGGGTGTGATCTACCCCCAACCCCACCATCACCCAAGAAAGTGGAGCCCAAAGCTGGAGATATAGTATAGTAGGTATGCCTTGTCTGTGGCTGATCTAAGTTAGATCCCAGGTACCACATATCGTCCCCAGAGCCCCACCAGGAGTAATTCCTGAGGGCAGAGCCAGGAACAAGCTCTTAGCACTGTTGAGTGGAGAGGGAGTGAGGGAAGGAGGGAGGGAGGGAGGGAGGGAGGGAGGGAGGGAGGGAGGAAGGAAGGAAGGAAGGGTGAGATAAAGGAAGGAAGCAGCTTTGGTGGACTGGAGAGACAATACAGAGATTCAGGTACTTGCCTTGCACAAAGCAGACCTAGGTTTGATCCCCAACACTACATATGATCCCCACCACATCCCGGCCCATCAGGAAAGAGCCATGAACACAATCAGATGTGGCTCCACAACCAAAAAAAATTTTTTTTTTTTTGCTTTTTGGGCCACACCCTGTGATGCTCAGGGGTTACTCCTGTTACTCCTGGTGTTCAGGGGGTTATATGGGATGCCGGGGATCAAATCCGAGTTGGCTGCATTCAAGGCAAACACCCTACCTGCTATAGTATCGCTCTGGCCCTCTAAATTTTTTTTAAATTAAAAAAAGTGGAGCCCGCATCAAGCATGGGAGGGGTAAGGGGCTGGGCTGACTGGCACAGATGGCGGCGGCATTCTGGGAAGAGGAGGACTGACAGCTACAACAAGTGCAGGCCCAGAGAGGGCAGCCTTGTGTGGGCCTAAGGCAAGTGGCAGGTGTGGGCTTCAATCCTGTAGTGCCGAGAGAGGGGTACAGGTGGCAGTTTTGCTCAGAAGAAAGGGCCAGAGCCATAGTACAGCAGGTAGAGCACTTGCCTTGCAAGCAGCCAACCCAGGTTCAATCCCCGGCATCCCACATACAATCCCGAGCCCTCCAGGAGTGATTCCTGAGTGCAGAGCCAAGAGTAACTCCAGAGCATCACTGGGTGTGACCCTTGAAAAAAAAATATTGCCACTCGGTCTACCCCTGTCCTCGCCTCTATGAGAACCCTGGACAATGTGCCCATGTATCACCTTTCCTGTCCTGGAGCCAGGTCTGTGCACACACACTCTCTCTCTCTCTCATGCCCTTGCATGCAGGCACCCACGTTCCTCACACTCACACTCTTTCTCATTCATGTGCCCAAGTTTCTCTCTCTCTCTCTCTCTCTCTCACACACACACACACACACACACTCACACTCTACAGTTCATTTGCACACAGGCACACAAGTTCCTCACACATACACTCTTTCATCCATGTGCACAAGCTCTCTCTCTCACGCACAGACACACACACTCACACACATTCACACTCTCTCAACCATCTGCACACAGGCACACCAAGTTCCTCGGCCTGAAGTCAGATGCTGTGTGCGTGCATATGTGACAGGCCAACCTTCCAGTTCCCAACAGGTGTTTTGTTTTATTTTGGGGCCACACCCAGCGGTACCCATGGCTTACTTCCTGGCTGAGCTCAAGAAAGGCTCCTCGCAGGCTTTGGGGACCAAATGGGATGCCCGCAGTTGAACCTGGATCAGTTGCATGCAGGGCCAGTGCCCTGCCCGTGGTGCTATCACGCTGGCCTCTGAGAGCTTATTCTAAGCCAGACCTCCCACCGTCATGTCATCCCTAACTGGGGACCAGGCCGGGGCTGCAGGAGTGTCCAGGGACAGAAGCGGAGCTGATGAAGGACTGTGTCCCTGGCTTCAGGAGGGGGGATGCGTGCCTCTGGGTGCACTGGCACACACGTGTCCCCCAGGGCAGGCAGGACCCCTCCCTCTGCCTCTGGAGGGTGATTTGTCAGAAGCCCCCATGAGACCCTGAGGCCCCAGGTTGACAGTGGGGTGGAGGCAGCCCTGCTTCCCCACACACTCCCCTTGGCCTACCCTCATCCATTCCTGCCCTCTGTTTCCTCCAGGGCCAAGTCCCCAAGGCTTCTTGGCCATTAACCTGCAGTGTTAATTAGCTTGGTGGGACAGTGAGGGGAAGGAGAGCAAATCTAAGGGGGTGTCTGGGGGGGATCTCTCCTTTCAGTGGGGGACAGGAAGGCCCAGACCAGCTGGTGACAAATGCCTGGCACACAAGCAGTCCTGCGCCATGGCCTGCAGTCTGTATGTGTGATAAACGAGTATGTCCAGAGTGGGAATCTGCCCCCCAGGGAGAGCCCAGACACCGGTCCCCCAGTGCCCCCCATCCTGGAATAACAGAAAGGGGCCAGGTCTGGGGGTGGAGCCGCCCCCACGCGCCTGTGTCTGGATTCTTCCTCTCCCAATCGTGGCTGGGATTTTTTTTTTCTTTCCAGTCCCACAAGCTTGTCATTCATCTGTTTGCTTGTTTGTTTGTTTGGAGGGGCACATCCTGCCATGCTCAGGCCGTACCCGACTCTGTGCTCAGGAAATCACTCCTGACAGTGCCCAGGGGACCCTATGGGAGGCTGGGATTGAACCCAGGTCAGCTGCGTGCAAGGTCAGCACCTTCCGTGCTGTCTTACCCCTCTGGGCCCCTGTTGATCTTATGTAAGTCCCTGCCCTGCCCTGCCTTGTCCAGGAGTGAGAGTCGGTCTGTGGGCCACGCAGTAAGCCCACCCATCTTCCTTCAGCCCCTCCATCTGCTTCCCAGGAACCACTGTGAGGGTCCCCCTCACCACCCTCACAGTACCATATCTATGAGGTCATCGTAGCTGTCCCCTCCACCCCCACCCAGGGGGACTTGACCTCACAAACTCCTAGAGGCTGCTGGTTTCCTAGGCACTGCAGACACCCATTCTTAGAAAACTCTTTGGATCCCCGAGCACCCCATATGGGTCCCCCCATCCCCCCGCAGGAGTGATTCCTGAGTGCAGAGCCAGGAGAAAGCTCCGAGCACTGTTGGGTGTGGCCCCAAACAAAAACAAACAAAAAGAAAACTCTTTGGGGAAGTTCTTCAAGTTTGACCTCAACTGCCTTTCCTACAGTTCTAGCAAAGGGTCCAGGTTGTTTGTTTTGTTTTCTTTTGTTTTTCAAGGCGGTGAACCAGAGAAACGCTGAAGCCGGGTACCGGGAGGAGAGGGGAGGAGAAACGTTGGGACCGCACTCAGCCCCCCTCCCCCAGATGAGAAGCGGGCAGTCCGAGGGGGCTCAGAACTCACGTTCGCCGCCACCAAGTGTCCGCAACTAGCGGCTCCCCGCGGGCCGGCGGCGGAGGGAACCGTGGGGGAAGGGGTAGTGATGCTGGGGTCTAAGGCACAGGGTGCCCCCAAACCTACCCACCGCCGAGCCCTGGGGGAAGTTCAGCTCCGCGTCCGCCTTCCATCCCCTTCCTCCTCGGTCCCCCGGTGCTCCCGGCTGTCCCCGACACTGGTCGGGTCCAGCCCTTCGCCGCCTCCCCGCGCCCCGCCGGCGGCCCCGGCTGCCCTGCACGGGCGGGAGCCCCGGGAACCAACTCACCTCCCGGCGGCGCCGCTCGGATCTCCGAGAGCGGGGTGCGGGTGGGCATGCGGGCGGAGGGCGGCGGCGGGGGGCGGGGGGGTGAGCAGACCCCGGCCCCCGGCCTCGGGGGTCCCAGCCTCCAGCCCGCGCCCCCCATGCCGAGCCCCGCCGCGCGCAGAGCCGGACAGCCCCGCGCATCGCGGCCGCGGGCTTTGTCTGCTCTGCGGAGAGCCTCGCCCCGCCGCCCCGCGCCGGGGTCACTCGGGGAGCCGCGGCGGGCGGGGAGGGGGCGCCGCCCCCCGCCCCGGCTCCCCGCTCATTACCATGAGAAAGAGGAACCCTGGCCGGGCCGCGGGCTCGAGGGGGCCCCGGCGGGGAGGGGGCCCCGCTCGGTCGCCTCTTTGCCCGCGGTCCCTTCTGGACTCCCACGCCTCTCCGCGAGCTCGCCCCGGGGGAGGGGGCTTGGGGGCCCCGGCCGCCACCCCCGGCCCCCGCTCCCGGTCGCTCGGCCGCGGGGGAGGACCGCAAGCTCGTCCCCGGCCGCCCGCCGCGGGTCCAGGCGGCGGTCCCCGCGCGCCCGCGGACTACAACTCCCGGCATGCCCCGGGCGCCCCCGGCGCGCCCCCCTCCCGTCAGTTCCATGCTGCTCCATCCAGTTCATTTAAAACAAAAGAGTTTGAGCGCTGCGAGGGGCTGGGCTCTACTGGGGGCCCCCGAGCGCCGCTCCCGGACTGGGGCTCGCGGCGGGCGCCTCGGGGGGCGTCCGGACGGCGGGGTCTCGAGGCTTCCCGGGTCCGAGGCGGGAGGGGTGGGGGCCGAGAGCCCGCAGCCCCCCGCCCCCCGTTCCCCCCGGAGAGGAGAGGAGATCCGCTTTCTGGGTTTTGCTTCTCTTTTCCCCCCACCCCCACCCCGGGGGCTGGGGCGAGGGGAGTCGGGTTACAGGGTGTTTGGGGAGGGGGGCTTAGGGGGAGGGTCTATCTTTCTATCTCGCTTTCTCCCCCCTCCCCAGTTCTTTGTTCCCCCTCCCCACACCCCCTCCCCTCCTCTCCCCTCCCCTGCGCGCTCCTCTTCTCCCTTCCACCCTCTCCTCTCTCTCTCTCCCTCTCTCCCAGCTTTTGTTTAGCCATGCCTAGTCTAGTGGTATCTGGAATAATGGAAAGAAATGGGGGCTTTGGGGAACTAGGGTGTTTCGGGGGGAGCGCCAAGGACCGAGGGCTCCTGGAAGACGAGCGCGCCCTCCAGCTGGCTCTCGACCAACTCTGCCTCCTGGGTTTGGGGGAGCCCCCCGCCCCCACGGCGGGCGAGGACGGGGGCGGCGGGGGGGGCGGCGCCCCCGCGCCGCCGGCCGCCCCCCCGCAGCCGGCCCCGCCGCCGCCCGCGGCGCCCCCCGCCGCCCCGCCGGCGGCCCCCGCCGCGCCCCCCGCCGCAGCCCCCCGCCGCCCCCAAAGGGGCCGGCGACGCCAAGCTCTGCGCGCTCTACAAGGAGGCCGAGCTGCGCCTCAAGGGAAGCAGCAACACCACCGAGTGCGTCCCGGTGCCCACCTCGGAGCACGTGGCCGAGATCGTGGGCCGGCAAGGTAAGCGGGCGCGGGAGCGGGGGGCGCCGCAGCCTCTCGCCGAACTTCGCCGCCTCTCCTGGCCCGCGGCTGGCGCTGGCCCGGGCGCACAAAGGGGGACCCGCCCCCTACCCCGATTTCCAAGTGCCGCAAAGTTCCCGGGGACCCCGGCCGGACGCTTCGCCAGTCTTTCCGTCCCCCCCCCCCCCCCCCCCCGGGCTCTGCCCTCAGACAAAGAAATATCCTCTCGTAGTACAGGGAAAGGGGAGGGGGAATCTGCTCTCCCCATCCTGGGAGGCTGCCCGGAGGGGGTGTCCGCCGCGAACCCGAAAAACTGGTGGAATGTGCCAAGAGTTACTCAGAAGCCCCTGCTGCGGTGTCCGCTAGTGGCTTGGGGAGGGGTTGCCCGCGGGACCCCCCAGTCGCTGCTTGGAGTTACAGACTTTGAGAGGGGAGACCGAGCCCGGGAAGCCAGACTGAGTATCTGTCTTTGTTGGGCTTGAGTGCAGGAATGGAAGGGGGTGTGGCTCCTAGGAGGGTCCCGGCCTGGGGGAGGGGTGGGGAGGGGGGCTGCCGGGAGGAGGAGGTGCTGTGGTCACCCCGCACCAAAGTTGACGGGTCCGTGGGGTTCTGGAAGGGGAGCCTGCCACCAAGTGCCACGTCCTGGCGTGGACCTCTTCTCCTCCCTCCGGCTTTGTTCTGGGCTGTCCACGGCTTGGAGAGGGGTCTCTGGGGGAGCCAGTGGCCCCGGGCGGGAGGGGGGTGGCTTCTGGGGCCCGGAGACACCGGGTCGGGTGGTTGAGATTTGGTGGTGGCCGCGTCTAGTGCGGGGGTGCGAGGGGTGGGTCTCAGATTAACCCCTTGGACTGGGTCTCCTACCACACCCTCCTGGGCTCCTGCATCTCTGGGCCCGTTGCAGTCAGAGTGCTAATGAGGGTCCAGATTGGAGCTATCTTGGGGACCCTTCCCTCTGCCGGTCTCCCTTGGGGGGTCGCAGGAGGGGGCCCGGAATCTGGGGGTTGTAAGGGGCTGGCTTGGGGGAGGAGCTGTCCCACCGTGCCGAACAATGGAGGAGCTGCTTCCCCGGGCCGGAGTGAGGGAGGAGGAAGAGGGGAGCCCCCCCCCACATCCACCTCATCCACCCTGGGGATGTGGCAGTGGCTTGGGGGCATTTTTCCTGGGGGAGGGGGATCTGGGATGGAGGAGGGGAGGCTATGCTCCCCCCACCGCACCCCAGGGGCGCCCGGTCTCCAGAGATTTCTGGCTTCAAAAGTTGGCTTCCCTTTTGTTGCCAGAAACTAGGGCCCTGCAGCCCAAAGATTGGGTGGGGACACCATCTCTTTTCCGGGGGGTGGGGGGTGGTCCCCAGAAGGCCCCCCGGAATTTCACAGAGTCATTCTTTCCTCTTGTGCCTCTGCACTGGGCCTGTCTCTCATCAAAAGTGGGAGGATTGTCCTCAAGTCTGAGGGAGTCCTCCCTCTGGTTTGACGTGCTCCGCGCGGTGGCTGGCTGGCCTGTGGGCAGGTGACACCTTCCCGAGAAGCTTCTGGGGCATGAGGCCCACCCGCCTCTGCTATTCCCTGCAGTCCTGGCCTGCCGTGCTCACCCCCTCAGCCCCAAAAGACACTTAGCGCTCACTTGAGTCTCTGGACCCCAAACTTAGAGACAGAGCCCCCGTCAGGCCCCACATGAGAAGTTGTGGGGAGAGGTGGGGAGAGGTGGGGGTGGGCTGCTTTTGCAGCCGCTCAGGAGGTGGACCCGCTAATGCCGAGAGGTGGGCAGGCCAGGAAGGAGGAGCAAGTTCTCCTTCTTGCCGTCTCTTGAAGGTGAGGAGGGCGCCCCGGCCCGCCCCATCTTCCCAAAACCATCTGGAGTGGAAGGAAAGAGGGCAAGAAAGAGCTCGCCTCAGGCCTGTGGGTGGAGGGTTGAGAGGGTGATGAGAAGGCCTGGGGCCCTCCTTGTGGGGGGCGTGGGGGTGTGTGGGTGCGTGCATGTGGCCCCAGGCTGTGAACCAACAGTGGGGTGGCAGAAGTTGGGGAGCTGTATAGGATGGTGCCAGCTGGGTGCCTGGCTGCTGGGGCTGGAACCTGGGCTCTGTGTGGGTGAAAGGGGCGTGTACAAGGGCTTTCCAAGGCTGCCTGGCCACAGCTTGTCCCTTGGCTGCTTGTGTGGGCCAAACTCTCTGCTCTGTGGTGTGTGCGCGCGCGGGTGGGGCGAGCTTCTGAGGCGCCCCCATGCTTTGGCTGGGAGAGGAGGCTGGGAGGAGAGACTTGGCCATTCGCACCCTGGGGGGCCACCCTCCCAGGCCCTCTTCTCTCTCTCTTTGTGCCTTTGTCCCCTGGGGCCTTTCTGGTCTCTTCCTGGTCTGATCTCTCTGCTCCCTTGCTTCAGTCCCGGGAGGATGAGTCCAGAAAATCCACCCACCACCGGGAGCACTCTGCAGGACTGTCTGGGGTCCCGCTGCCCCTCACATGTCACTAACGTTCCACTTCTCTGCCCTTTGAAACTGATGCTCAGGCCTTTCCCAGTCCCCTCTCCAGTAGTTGCAAACTAGCCATGGATTCGACACCCACTAAGATGCCGATGCCTGGAAGGCGGGAATGGAATTGGGGTCCAGGGAACAGATGGGTGCCTGCAGCCCCCGCCTAGAGTGAACTGAAGGGCACCTGTAGTGAATGGAGGTCAAATGAGAGATAGATTGCAGAGTACCCAGCGTTCTGTGTTTCTGCGGAAAGGCCCTGACCTGTGAGAGATTTGGGGGTGGGAGGGTGTGTAAGTGATTTGGAGTATCAGAGAGGAATTAAGGGAGGAGTTGGGGGGTTGAAGTCAAGGGTGTGTGTGGGAGGGTCTGTGTGCCTAGGATCCACTTGGAATTGAACTGTTGGTTCAAGGCAAGTTGGTACCTTTTGAAATCTGTGCTTGATGGGTTGGGTAAAGCCGAGTGGATTATTTGAGGGTAGAGATGGGGAACTCCGGGGCTTAACTGGCCCCAGTGCAACAAACTTGCTTGGTCTGAGTTTCTTTTTCTCTTCTCTCCTGCACCCTGCCACAGGCTGCAAGATTAAGGCATTGCGGGCCAAGACTAACACCTACATCAAGACTCCGGTGCGGGGTGAGGAGCCAGTGTTCATGGTGACTGGGCGGCGGGAAGATGTCGCCACTGCCCGCCGCGAAATCATCTCTGCAGCCGAGCACTTCTCCATGATCCGCGCCTCCCGCAACAAGTCTGGTGCCGCCTTTGGCGTAGCGCCCGCCCTGCCGGGCCAAGTGACCATCCGTGTGCGGGTGCCCTACCGCGTGGTGGGGCTGGTCGTGGGACCCAAGGGGGCCACCATCAAGCGGATCCAGCAGCAGACCAACACCTACATCATCACGCCCAGCCGCGACCGCGACCCGGTGTTCGAGATCACGGGGGCCCCGGGCAACGTGGAGCGCGCGCGCGAGGAGATCGAGACGCACATCGCGGTGCGCACGGGCAAGATCCTCGAGTACAACAACGAGAACGACTTTCTGGCCGGCAGCCCCGAGGCCGCGCTGGACAGCCGCTACTCCGAGGCCTGGCGCGTGCACCCGCCGGGCTGCAAGCCCCTGTCCACCTTCCGGCAGAACAGCCTGGGCTGCATCGGCGAGTGCGGCGTGGACTCAGGCTTCGAGGCCCCGCGCCTGGGTGAGCAGGGCGGCGACTTCGGCTACGGAGGATACCTGTTCCCCGGTTACGGGGTGGGCAAGCAGGACGTGTACTACGGAGTGGCGGAGACCAGCCCCCCGCTCTGGGCGGGGCAGGAGAACGCCACGCCCACCTCCGTGCTCTTCTCCTCCGCCTCCTCGTCCTCATCCTCCTCTGCCAAGGCCCGCGCCGGACCCCCGGGCGCGCACCGCTCGCCGGCCTCGTCCTCCGGGCAGGAGCTGGCCGGCCTCCCGCGACGGCCCCCGGGAGAGCCACTGCAGGGCTTCTCCAAGCTCGGGGGCGCCGGCCTGCGGAGCCCCGGCGGCGGGCGCGATTGCATGGTCTGCTTCGAGAGCGAAGTGACCGCCGCCCTGGTGCCCTGCGGACACAACCTCTTCTGTATGGAGTGCGCCGTGCGCATCTGCGAGAGGACGGACCCCGAGTGTCCCGTCTGCCACATCACAGCCACGCAAGCCATCCGAATATTCTCCTAGGCCCCTGGCCCCCAGCGACTTCGCGGGCTGGCACCCCCCGCGTCCAGCTTTGCAGCTGTTTTCCGCGGGGGGAGGGGCGGGGACACCTTTAGGAAATCGGCCAGGGGGAAGGGGAGGGCACCGGGCCTGTGCACGGTGGCTGCTGCGGGGGGTGGGCCGCGCCTCTGGTCTCCCTACCTGGGAAAGCTGGGGAGGGGGCCCAGAGAGGGGAAATTTTACTAGAGTTACAACTCTGATACCTCAACACACCCTTTAACTTGGAAGCAGCTAAGAAAAACTTTGATTTTTGCCAGAGGGGGCCCACGGAGGCATCCCGGGCCCCCCCTGTGCATTGCCCCCCTGGGGGGTTCGCTCATCCCCTTCCTTTTTGGTGAGGAGGGGGCAGGAGAATTGTCATCTGTATCCAGAGGTGCTCTTTTACACCCCCCAACCTCCCGGGCCTGACCCGTCTCTTATAACGCTTGAGCGTGCCTGCTCCCCCCAAACCGCCCTCCCGAACCGTTGGGGACTTCCAGCAGTGTAAGGGGGGGGGGGGGTTTCTCAGAATTTTGTAGAGATTTGGAGGGCGTAGGGGAGGTCAATCAATAAAGGGCTCAGAACTCATCTGTCCCCACAAAGCTGGGCTCGAGGAGTCTGAAGAGGGGCCCTCTCTCCTCTGCCCCTCCAGCTTCCCTTTCCCTCCCCCCCCACTTTCCTTCCTGGGGTTCCCCTCCTTGCCCTGGGCCTGGTTTCCCCCTGGGGGGCCTTCACACCCAGCGGCTAGCTCTTGTTCTTCCCTTCTCCCCCTCTTCTGCTCCTTCCAGCTCAGCTTTGGGGACCCCCTCCCTGAGGAGAAAAGTAGGGGAAGAAACATGTTGATGGTACCCCTGAGTTCTCTTCCAGTCTCCGGAGGGCCTCTCCCCCACTCCTCCAAAGAAACACCTCCCATTCTTGATGGAATGTATCCCGTTCTCAGTGACACATTGGGGAGGGACCCAGACTGGGCTGCAGCGAGGGTCACGCCCCCACTGTTTTCATCTTGAGGAAGCCGGCTTTGCTGGGCTGCATTTTCTTGTGGTGGCAGGGGAGAGCCAGGTAGTGTGACTGCTCCTGGGCAGTGGAGGGGGCTGAAGGTGTGCCCTCCCCTCTCAGTGCCCCCCTTCCTCCAGGGGGGAGGACCTGCCCCGTGCAAATCATGAAGTCTGTCTGGCACTGTGGCCCGGGACTGGGTCCCGCAGAGCAGCGTCGGGGTGCCAAGGCAGCACCTTTTCTGGGAGTCGCTTGTCACAGGCCTTGCACCACCTCTGCTGCTGGCCCGCTGCTCACCCTCCTGGTTCCGCTGGCCGGGCCGGGAGAGGATGGGGGCCAAGAGTCCTGTGGTGGGTGCAGCCGTCCCAGGAAATCCTTGTATATAATGGGGTGGGACAACCCCTTTGTCCTGGAAGGAGAGGGGTGCAGGGATGGGGGTCCAGAGGGGGTCTCCTCCTCTCCCTCCTGTTGTGAATGAACTCCCCTCTCTTTAGCCTTTCCCTCCAGACCACCAGCCCGGGAGGGGAGAGGAAGGGGGTCTCGCCAGGGAAGCACCTCCCCAGCTGTGACAACTTCCCTCCTTCCCGCCAATGTGAGCCATGCCCCCTCCCCAAGCGTGTACAGTAGAAACCAAACCAAACGGGCCCCTCATGCACCCAGGGGGGCTGGGCGGGATGGGAGGGAAGAAGGCATGTCTGTGGAGCCCCCTCCCCTCGACTCCTGACCCACAAAGGCAGAAGACTGTTACAGAGGCTCGCAAAACCCAATCCCACCCTGAGCAATTGAGCCAAACCTAGAAACTGACGTGAAGATGCGTCATCGCGAGAGAACTAGAGGGAGCGAGATAGGCAACCAACACAGGAGAGAAAACAAAAATCGCAAAAAAAAAAAAAGCAGTTCTTTATAATTTAATATTCTATTTTAATAAAGGCGTTTATTACCGTATAAATGTAGCAAAGAACCTGGGCTAATATGAAAAAAAAGACTTTTTATTAGGTAATTTATTATATGAAAAGGATATTTTATTTTATGATAAAGTGATCCTTAAAAAAATAAAAAAACTTTAGAAGGTTTAGAATATATGTAGGGAAGAGAAGAAGAAAAAAATACATTTGTATTCAGAGTTAAATCTTAAAAAAAAAAAGTGTTTTTAATATATGTTCGGGTTTACGTTCCTTTTTTCCCCTACGTTTTTTTGGGGAGGAATGTCATTTGCTTTTGGGGGGGAACATCCAGGGATGGATGGTGGAGGGGCTAGGGGCTTCTGATCCCTCGGGCCCAGCAAATAGATTGGATTTCACCCCATGGGCCCCGTCCCCTCCCCCGCCCCCTGGGGGAGCTGGCATAGCAAACAAAGAAAGGGATTAAAGAGAAAGGGAGAAGCTGAGGACTGAGCATCCCGGGTGCCCCCCTTCATGGCCCTTCCCCGTGGGCTTATGAGAAGGGGTTGTCCAGAGCTGAGGCCCCAGCAGGTTTACTGACTAGAACCTTCCAAGGTATGAGATTGAAGAGAAATTTTTTTTTTTTAACCAAAAAGAGAAGAAAAAGTAAGAAACCGAGAGGGGTTTAAAAGAAAAGAATACTACAAAATAATAATTATTAATAATAATTCAAATTTATTTCCTATAATCCTAGAGAAGAAAAGAAAGAATTACTAGTTACTTAGTAGATGATATTCAGATAGTTTAAAGTTTAGTAGCATTGTGGGCCCCCGGGTCCAGTAGAATGTATAAAAAGTCGTAAGAAAAAGGAAAATAGAGGCAGGAAGTGGCCAAGTGGCTGGGGTGGGAGCAGCATCTAGTTAAGGAGGGGGGGTCACCAGTTTGCTGGGGTGGACCCCCAGAAGCCCTGAGACAAGGCGCCTCCCTCCAGAGTGCTGGGGCGGTGCTCACCTGGGCCCCAGGATCTTGGCCTGGCCATCCCTCTCTGTTGGGCAGCCTTTACTTCTCGGGGTTCCTGGGAGGCTGGAGTTTCTCCCTGGCCCCTCAATCTGTGCGCTCCATGTGGGGTCCAGAGTGGGTTCTGCAAACACCCACCCACACTTCTCAAGCGCTTTGAGTCCTGAGGGCAGGTGGGGGCTGGGGGATGGAAGTCCCCCTACCCTCTTCTTAACCAGTGTCAGCTGTCCAACGTGGCAAGGTGGCAGGAACTGCCACCTGAGCCCCTTTACCCCATGCCCCTGAAAGCCAAGCTGTGTACTGGTAGCCCAACACGCCTGCTCCTCCAGGCCAAGCTAAGACCTGGGAGAACAGGACCCCGAGGGAAGAGGGGAGGCAGGGAGTCTGGGGGCCCTACCTCGGAATTTGCCACCTTGTGTTCATAGATCAGCATAGGCCGTCTGCTGGACCCTGGGCTGGGGGCACGTGTCCCCCCAGCCCTCAGGATGGTTGGAAGCCAGGCTTGCCCATGCTAGAAGTCAGCTATTTTTTTAAAGCACTTGCCTCCCACCAGCCCCAGCTTGCAGTGGGGGCTCCAGGGGTCCTTCTGGAAGGAGTGCAGGAGGTCCTTGGCTGGTGCCATAACACCAATGACTCCCCACCCTGCCCTCCCCCACAGACTCGTCAGCCCACCTAGGGACAGGTTCCCCTGCTCTTTTTGTCCTAGAGACCCCACTAGTTTGGGAAGGTAGTGTCGGGGTGGGGAGGCTCTCCTCTCCCCACTCGAGGGTGCGTGCGGGTGGGGTAGGGTGGGTTTTGGGGGAGACGCCCGGGGCAGGGGGGGACGGTCTCTCCGCTGTAGAAAGTAGAGTAGGATTGTGGTCAGACTTAATTTGAGGCATCTAGTGAAGTCACATACAGAAATCCACCCGGGAGAAATATTTCAAAGGCGGGAAACAAAACAAATGGACCCACAAATTGTCAAGTCAAAGTGATGTTGCACAAAATGCAGAGAAACCAAGAAGGGGGAGGGTTAATGTATGAAATGTGCTATTAAGAACTTAATTTTATTAAAAGTATTATTACTTAAGGCTCTCGCTTCTCTGTCAATGAGAGGGTTGGGGCTGAGCTGCCGGTTTGGGGAGACCCCACTGTGGGGATGAGGTGGGGGTTCCCAGGCAGGGGATTCTGGGTGCCTCTGCAATAAAGGGGTGGTTCTTGTCTGCTTTCCACAATGCCCTTTTTGTTTGGAGCCCACACTCCTAGCCCAGTGCTCAGGGATCACTCTGGGCAGAGCTGGGGGTCTCAATATAGACCAGGATCAAAACCAGGTTATCTGCATACAAATGAATGCATTTCCTGCTGTCTTATCAGCCCACAGCTCTCTTTCATCTCATTCTCCCCGGGTTTGACCCCCAGCACCCCGAGGGTCCCCTTCCCCTGGTTCCCCTCAGTTCTTGGCACCAGGGCACAGAACCAGGAGTAAGCCCTGAGCACCACCGGGTGTGACCCCCCAAAAGTCTCTCCTCATCTTGTTTCTCCCCATTATCTCCTCAGTGGGGTGCTGGGCAGAGAACTAGAGGCAAGGAAAGTGCCCTAAAGGACCAGCTCCAGGGACTCAGAGGCAGGGGACAGAGCTGAGGTAAACAAACCCTCAGCTTCTGTCCATCCCTACACCCCTTCTTAGGGATCAGGTAGGCGTGGGACTTCCAGCCTCCAGGTTTCATTTCTTTGTTTTTGTTTTGGGGGGTCACACTGGCCATGCTTAGGATTTAGTCCTGACTCTGTGCTCAGGATCACTCCTGGAGGAGCTCAGGTGCTGGGGATCAAACCCAGATCAGCCACACGCGCTGCCTTTACCTTCCAGGCAGTCTAATCTTTCCAGCCAGCTACCAGGTTTAAAGCCCTCTCCCCAGAGCCCAGATAGGGTAGCCCCCAATTCTCCCTTCTGTCTCCCTGGCCCCCCTCCCCTCACCCCTGGAAATGGAGTGACCTCAGTTCTTGGCACCAGGGCCCTGGGCACCAGATGGTGCCTTCGATGGTCTCCTTTGTCTCTCCTTCCAGACACCCCCCTCTGCCATGCTGTTCTCCCTCTCCCACCTGCCCTAAGAGTTGGCA